ACCGGGGAAAGGTGTTTGTGAAGCTGGACTTGTCCAACGCCTTCAACACCCTGGACAGGCAGGCTCTGCTCCGCGCGGTCCACGAAGAGTTTCCCGGGCTGGCGCCCTGGGCCGACTGGTGCTACTCCCGCCCGTCAACTCTCTTCCTGGGCAAACAGACAGTCCGCTCCGAGTGCGGGGTGCAGCAGGGCGACCCCCTGGGGCCCCTACTGTTCTCCCTAGCACTACAGCGCGCCGCCGAGGCCGCCCTTCGCGCGCCGCGCCACGGCGCCGACGGCGCCGTCGACCTGAGTTTCTTCTACTTGGACGACGGCTGCCTCGCGGGCGACGCGCCGGCCGTCGCGCGCCTCCTCCACTTGCTCGTGGCCAGCCTTGCCGCGGTGGGCCTCCAGCTGAGCACCGGCCCGGGCAAGTGTGAGGTGGTCCCCACTGGCGGAGACGCCTCCGACGTGTCTCTGGACGGCTTCCCGCCGGGCTTCCGCCTCCGCACCGATCGCAGCTTCGAGCTGCTCGGCGCGCCAGTGGGAGACGCGGACTTCTGCGCGGAGCACACCAAGCAGCGGGTCGCGAGCGCCACCGACTTGCTGGAAGCTCTGGGGGAGCTCGAAAACGCGCAGGTCGCGCTGCACCTCCTGCGCCAGTGCGCCTCCTTCTGCAAGCTGGGCTACTCCGCGCGCGTGGTGCCGCCCACCGCGCACGCCGCCTCCCTGCTGGCCGTGGGCGACGCTGTCTGGGCCTGCCTTGAGCAACTGAGCGGCTGCTCGCCCTCCGACGCTTCTTGGCAGCAGGCTCAGCTTAAGCTTAGGAAGGGAGGACTTGGCCTGCGCTCTGCCGCGAAGCACGCCGCCGCCGCCTACATCGCTTCCAGAGCGAAGAGCACCGACCTCTGTCGGCAGCTCTACCCCGGCTACTCCAAGAACCCCGACCGCGACGGAGGTAGCCTGGCGGCTGCGGTGCAGGCCCACAACGCAGTCGTGCGGGACGCCGACCGGGTGGCGTTCGACCACGCGCAGCACGGCAACCAGAAGGCCCTCTCCGACGCGGTGGACAGCGCCTCGCTCGACGGACTTCTGGCGGGCTCCACCCTGGCCGGCAAGGCGCACCTCTCTCTGGTGCAAGCCCCAGGCGCGGCCGCGTGGCTCCAGGCGCCGCCCTGCGAGGCCACCGGCACCGCCTTCCCGCACGGCCTCATGCAGGTCGGCCTGCAGAGGCGGCTGCGAGTCCAGCTCCTGCAGGAGGAGTGCTTCTGCCCAGCCTGTGGCGAGGTGATGGACGTTTTCTGCGACCACGCCCTGGTCTGCGCCTGCCGCGGCGACCGGACCAAACGCCACAACGCCCTGCGCAACCAGGCCTTCTTCGACGCCCTGGCCGCCGGCCACGCCGGGGCGGAGTTGGAGCGCCCGGGGCTGCTACCCGCGCGCCCCGCCGGGGAGGCCACCCCCGGGGGCGAGCAGGGCGGGTCCCAGGTGGACGACAACGGCCGCCGCCCTGCCGACGTCTACCTGCCGCGGTGGCGCAACGGTACGGCGGCCGCCTGGGACTTTGCCGCCACGTCAGGGTTGCGCGCCGATCTCCTCGCCGCGTCGGCCGCTTCGTCAAGCGCAGCGACGGAGCGGTACGAGGAGTTCAAAAGGCAGCACCAGGACACCGCGCGGCTCTGCGCGGCACAGGGCTTCACTTTCCTCCCCATGGTGGTGGAAGCCCACGGCGGCGGGTGGGGCCGCGAGGCACGCAGGGCCTTCGGGGTCCTGGCCAAGCGGGTGGCTGACGCCACGGGGGAAGACGCCGCACTGGTTGCGGACCAACATGCCCAGCGACTTTCCGTCTCCCTGCACAGGGAGAACGCGCGGGCGGTGTTGCGGCGCCTTCAGACCCTGTCTGGAGCGGCGGGGGTGGCAGCGGCCCGCTTGGCCGCGGCCACGGCGGCCTCCACGGCAGACGCCGTGTGAGGTGCCCCCTGCGCTGCCTAGCGCCCCCCGCCCCCCCCCCCCCGCCCTTGCTGGGCAGCGCGGGCGCCCCCTTCGCCCTTTCGCCAACGTCGCGCCGGCGACCCCTCCCACGCGCCGCCCGGCCCTTCCCCGGCGGGGCGGTGGATGGATCCCGCAGAGGGCAATTCCCACCAAGCCGCATCGCGCTGGGTTCGGGCGGCCACCCCGCCCAGATCGCCGCCGTAGGGTCCGCAGCCTCGTCGCGGGCGGCTCTTCTCTCCCGGCCCCTGGCCCGGCCTGTCTGCTTGCGGCCGCTGCTTTCTCTCCTCCTTGTCCTCCTCCCCCTCCTCCCCCTCCCTTCGCTTCTGCTCGTTGCTTCCCTCCCTTTCCTTTCCTCCTGCTCCCTGCCTGCTGTCTCCGCCTGGCCCGTCTTCTGCCTGCCCGCCCGCCCCGCCGGCCCTGGCCTCCCGCCTGGGCGTTCGTCGTCGTCTGCCTGCTTCTCCCCTCCTCGTCCCCTTCCGCCGGGCAGTACAGCCTGCCCGGAACCAGCGTGGCGGCATAGAATCGCGGATCTCCGCCGCCGAACGAGGCGGCGCCGGCCGCCATTTTAGGGAGAGTCTCGAGGATGATGGCCCCGAGCTCGCACGCCCTGACCTGGATGGAGGCAGACGAGGCCTCTTCTTGGTATGTGGCTTACAGGCATAGCTGTGGCCAGTTCGTGCCATGATGAGCGCATATGTCCGGCTTTGGCCCAGGTGCCCTGCTCGTTGGAGAGGAGAGGAGGATCCCTCGAGGGAGGGAGGGAGGAAGGGAGGGAGGGAGGGAGGGAGGGAGGGAGGGAGGGAGGGAGGAGGAGAGGAGGAGGAGGAGGAGGAGGAGGAGGAGGAGGAGGAGGAGGAGGAGGAGGAGGAGGAGGAGGAGGAGGAGGAGGAGGAGGAGCTGACAATGATTTCCAGCTGGATCCTCCGACGGGCGGGGCGGGCGAGCGCCGCGGCCGCTTGCTGGTTCCCGCGGTCCCGCGCAACCCGCAGGAGCCTGATGTGGCAGGGCTCGAGCTAAACAACGTTTCTCGTTTTCGTTTTGTTTTCGTTTTCCTTCGTTCTGCCTTCGTCCCGCCTTTATATTTGGAACAAGCAATAAAAAACGAAGGCGGTCCACGAAATCACCAAATTGCCGTTTAGCTCGGGCCGTGTGATGTGGATGATGAGGGGGAGGAGCAGAAGGGGGAGAAGGAGGAGGCGGAGGGGCCCGTTCTCGCTTCTTCGGGGTTGCGTGCGCGGGAGGTCCTCGCAATCGCGATGCTGCGAATAATTTGCGTCTGCTCAGAGGGGGTGGGGTGGACCCGAGCTCGGAAGCGAGCTTCTCCACCCCTGCCCGAGAGTGCTGTTTTAGGGTTGCCATATCGCTCAAGCGGTAACGTACGGCTACAGAGCCAACTGGAGCGAACCAGAGGAGGAGGAGGAGGAGGAGGAGGAGGAGGAGGAGGAGGAGGACGACGAGGAGGAGAGGAGGAGGAGGACGAGGAGGAGGAGGAGGAGGAGGAGGGGAAGAGGAGGAGGAAGAGGAGGAGGAGAGGAGGAGGAGGAGGAGGAGGAGGAGGAGGAGGAGGAGGAGGAGGAGGAAGAAGAAGAGGACCAGAAGGGGGAGGAGGAGGAGGCAGAGGAGGAGGAGGAGGATGAGAAGGAGGAGGAGGACAGGAGGAGGATGAGAAGGAGGAGGAAGCGGAGGAGGAGGAGGAAGAGGAGGAGGAGGAGGAGGAGGAGGAGGAGGAGGAGGAGGAGGAGGATGGGAAGGATGACGAGGAGGAAAATGAGGAGGAGGAGGAGGCGGAGGAAGAGGAAGAGGAGGAGGATGAGGAGGAGAAGGAGGAGCCCTTCAGATCGGGGCATCTGTTGTCGTTGTCAACCTCTCGTCTCTCGAAAGCGTTTCCCGGCCCAAGGATAGTCAACAACGACCCAGCATGACAAACGAGCCCTGGGGAAGAGGTCGAGATTCCCCGGGGGCCGACGTCACGAACACATTGCAACGTCGGAAAAGAAGGGTCGTGCATGTTCGACTCGCCCTTCACAATGGGCTGCCCTACTTCCCTGCCTCCCCTTTTCACGTGATCCCGTTTCCTGTATGAGGGTCCACAAACTTAACGTCCTCTCGTTCGAGCGAGCGAGCGACGCGAACCCAGATCACCGAAAGACAAGCATTTGTTTATCCCCCCGCCGCTTTTTCAGAATGTCGGCCTCTGGGGGCTGCTTTATTGGCCACGGGGCCATCAATAAAAATGTTCTGGGATGAAAAGCACCCCCCAGGGAAGGCGTCAGGAGCATTGCTTGGATGACCGCGGGGCTTGCTAAGCGGATAAGGGGGGCTACAAGTGGATGTCTGGGTGGGTTGAATCTGGCGTGCACTAACCTGTAAGTGCGTTGCAAATGCTCTCAATGACTTGGGTGGGTTCGATGACTCCGCTAAGTGGGCGCAGCCCACTTTGCCCATATCTCAAGCCAATCAAGGTGCTTCTAAATCACCTATAAGCCACATGTTACAAACCCTAGCATTCACTTGTAGCCCCCCTGTACTGTTAGCCTCCCCCTGGTCGTCCCAATGGGGCCGCGGATTGAAAAGTACGCACCGTTGGATGTCGGGGGATCCAGGATGGACAATCGAGATTTGTGCACGTCTTGCGCCTGTTGCGGGTCTCCCGGGAGCTTCTCGCAGCCACGGCTGGATCCCACTCGAGAATTGGGTCAGAACGCATCTCGGCAGCGATCCAGGGGTCGAGTGTTGAGGTAGGTGGAAAAGGAGGAGGAAGGAGGAAGGTCAGGATCAGGAGGGAAGGGAGATTAACAAAAGGTTATGGAAGGGGGCGGGGGATGGGTGCGACGATGCCGAGCCGAGCCGTTTTTGGACGGCCCCGAGGCCCGATGAGAGGGCCCCTGGAAACCGAAACCTGCCACACAGACCTGCTCGCTCACCACCATAGGGCCGTGCTCGCGCCAGGGCACTGGTCGGAACAACACAGCGCCGCCACCGCCGCCGCAGCCAGGCGCGCGCGGGCCAGCGAACCTCCCGCCGCGCCCTTTTGCTCCTCTCCGCGGCGCGAAGATCTCGGGCACCGGGGGGGGGGGGGGCGATCCGCCGGCCCCCCGACGACTCGCGGCGCCAGACGGCTGCCGCGCGCTGCCACCGCGGCCTCACCCGGCGGGCTGCCGCGCCGCAGATCCGCGGCTGCCCAGCTGGCCGCGGGGCCCTGCCAAGAGCAGTGCGCACGGACTCGGGTGAAAATCGGACCGAATGGGCATGCGAGCTGCATCGGGCTGCATCAACAGTGTCGGAATCAAATGGGAACGGCGGCGCCGGGATGCACGACAGCACCGCGCAGGCGTCGGGCCGCGTCGGATCGCTGGAAGATCGACGCTGGATCTGATCGGGCCTGGCGAGCTCGGAGCCCTCATCGGATCGGATCGAATCGCCATGGGCGATGCTCGGGCGGCCGCTCAGTCGAATCGACCGAAGCTGAGGGCAGCCTCAGGGCGCCGCTCGCTGTGGTGTGCCCAGACGTCCGACGACATGACTTTTGCCAATCCGCGGCCCCAATAGGCTCGACGCCCCCCCCTCGGGGGTATTGTGTCGTCCCGACTGCTCAGGATGAAGAGCCGTTCCCGGTGATGGTGCCGAGACATCCAGGGGTACACAACGTCAACAGATCATACGCGGGAGGGAGGCCTCTCGGACAACTTCGGGGTCTCCGCGGAAGCTTCTCGGAGCCTCCCGAGAAGGCCTCGGAGGGTTTTGGAGGACCTCAGGAACTTTCCAGAGTGCGGAGGCGATGGAGGCGATGTGAGGAGGGGAGCAGCAGCAGAATAAGGACCAGGACGACGAGGTAGATAAATACGAGGGAGGGTACCGAGAGGAAAATGAGCGAGCCAGATTCGACGGTCTGACACACAACGCGCTGTGACAGATCGCCGTCTCGAAGATGACTAGACTGGATTGGCGCCCAGCGGCTTATGTACAGGTTCACTGGGCCATAGAAAGGAAGGGGGCAGCATGTCGCTTGCGAAACGTAGACCCGACAGCGAATGAAAAGGTGGCACCGCTCCACACGCTGAAATCGTGCGATGAGTCTGTTCATAATGCCGCATGTGATTGACTTGCAACCGAAAACTGTATTAAAAAGTTCTGACCGAACCCGTCGAGAACTTGAGGCGCCTCCAAAGCAGATGCGCTGGCACAGCAGCTCATGGTGCCGTTCCCGCTTTGGGAAGCCTCGTCGGCCCACCTCGGCAGTCCGGAGTCCGCTGCGAACGGTCAGCATTTGTGCGGGGCTCGCGGGAGGGAGCTTCCAAGAGACCCAGGGAGAGGCGCAACCTATGCAAGTCTTATCCGACTGCAGCGGCAAGCGCACCCCCAACCTCTAAGAGGTTGGAGGTGTTCTGGTCACCCTGGTATCGCCCTGCCACATGCACCCGCTCGTGCGGGACTTGACGCAGTGAATTCTTACAACTTCGCAGCGACGCGAACAACGAGTCTTTTCTCTGAAGAAGGCTCGGCCAAGAGAGCGAAGCCCTCGCACGCGCGCGAATCTCAGGAGCCTCACACAGCAATCATTGGATAGTGCAGTGCGCCAGAGCTGGCCAGCTCGACGTTGAGGTCCACGAAGTCGTACGCGTCACTATCGATATCCTTAGAGGACCACAAGACGGCATCTAACATGTAGACAGACGTTCGGGAGTACGCGCAAGCTTTTTGAGGGGAGTCCAGCGCCGACCCCAAAAATCCGCGCGGACCTCCGACCACCTACGTGCTCATAGAACTTCTGGGCCCTCCAAATCCTGGGAGGGGCGCTTCAACTGCACGGTGACCTTCCCGCCGGGTGCCAGCGTGTCCAGCACCTTCACGATGTCGTCGGAGCTGCTCACGCGCTTGTAGTTGATGCCGACTATGACGTCGCCGAGGCGGCCCCTGCTCTGCGCCCGCACGCCGGCCTTCGAGGCGGGGCCCTCGGGCACCACCCTCATCACGATCGCCCCGTCGATGCCCAGCACCTCCTGCATGCCGCTGGGTGCGAAGGTTACGCCCAGCGCCGCTCTGCTGACGTACCCCTCTGCAATCATGTTGCCAACGTGGTGCTGAACCAGGTCGATCGGGATGGCCAAGCCTACACCTAGATGCGCGAGCAACTGCAAAAAGATGTTAGCCATTGTTGACCCCAAGTAGTGGCTTATTGCACTGCTGTGTAAGCAATGTGATGCAGTCTACGTGGTGCAAGCTATATCGTGTAAGCATTGTGTTGCAAGCTCGACGGACCCCCCAAGCGCGGTGGGCGGCAACGAGGCGGCAACGGCGGCGACGCGGCGAAACCTTGACAGACGTCCCTGTGGGCGGGAAGGATGCGGCAACTGGGCGGTAACGAGTCGGCGACGCGGCGAAACCTCGATGGACCCCCCAAGCGGGCGGCAACGAGGCGGCGAAAGCTCAACGGACCCATCCAAGTACTTAGCAGGACAAGCAAGAACCCCTACGTGCAAACACTGCTTGGGGAACGAAGAGGTTCGGAGGTCCGCGCAGATCTTTTAGATCGGCGCTGGACTCCCTCCCTAGCGGTGCGCTTCGCGCAGCAAAAGGGTCTCGAACGGCGGTCCAACAGAAATCCACGTAATCCGGGCGGGACCCCCGTAAGTTGATGTTTGTACAACTTTTCTTCTGCGCGCACCGCTGAAGCCGCCGCTGGCGGACATGATTGCGGAATTCATGCCCACCACCCTGCCCTCGCTGTCCAGCAAAGGTCCGCCGCTGTTTCCTGGGTTGATGGCCGCGTCCGTCTGGATGACGCCGTCCATAGGTCTGCTCCCCATGCCCAGCCGCATCGTTCGCTTCACGGCGCTGATGACGCCGAGGCTCATGCTGTGCTCTAAGCCGTAGGGGTTGCCAAGTGCAAACACCTCCTGCCCTGGCACCAGGTCGGCCGAGCTTGCTCGCTGCAGCGGCTGGAACAGCTCTTGCACCTCGGTGCCGGCAAGCGTGGGCACCTGCAGGACCGCGATGTCGGAGAGCGGGTCACCCCCCACCAGCACAAGGTCGTGCGAGCTGCGGATCTCATTGCCGCTCGCGTCCTTAGAGACCCCCTAATGCGGTCCGAGCGATGCATCGATGCATCGGCGATGTATCGGCGTTGCATCCGCGACGTCGCCGATGCATAGGAGATGCTGACGTGGAGAGAGTCGAGCTCCATATCGACTTGCATCCCCGATGCATCGGCGATGAGGCGCGTTCCACCGACCCCATCTAATCGGACGCCATTAGGGAGGCCAAGAGTCCTTGCCCAGGAAGGTGGCGCGGGGGGCCACCATATTCCCGATGACGTGGAAGTTTGTGACCACGTGCTCCCGGTCCCACATGAAGGCACTGCCAGAGGCCCCCGCCTGTACCTAGGGGAGCCATCGGATATATTCTTATTGCCACTCCCTGGGTCTCCCTTGGGGTGCTTTTGGGCCAGACTTTCGCAGGGACTCTAGCCGTGGCGACGGTGGCCTCCCAGGAGGCACAACAAGGCGAAAACGAGGGATGGGTAGCGGCACTGAGATCCGACGTTGCCACGAAAATGCAACATCGCAAAAAATCACGCCCGGAACCCCCGACCCCATCTTCCTGCGTCATCTCTCGAGCTGGATCGATCTGTGAGGGTCCCGCGGGGCCCGAAATTGAGCGAAGACGCCCGTCGTAAAGAATTTGCAGCGCCAGGATCTTAGGGGGTATGGGTGCCTGTTCCTCCCCTGAGCACCCCGCTGGGCAGCCTCTTGGAGCCCTCGGTGATGCTGACCACGCCGGGCGAGGTCCGGGCGAAGAGCTCGATCTGGCGCAGCTCCTGGGGCGCCAACTCGACCCCGAGGCACTCCCGATCCTCCCTTCCCGGGGGTGCTCTTGCGGGCCCCGGATCCACTCCTGGTGGTCCCCAGGCCCGATGGCGGGCCCTGGAGGCCGAAACCGAGGAGAAGCGCTGGGATTGGGAATACAGCAAGAGCTTGACCGCAAGAAACCTTCCACATGAAACCCAACCCTGAGACTCCAGGACGTGCATCGATTTTTGGTGTGGGAACGTCACGCACTCCATAGCAAAACCATCGAAACTCAAGAAACCCAAGGCACCCTGGAGACAAGCAGGGTGTTTCTTGGCATGGGTTTCCACTGTAATGGTCCCCAAACCCGATGACGGGCCCCAGAGGCCGAAACCGAGGAGAAGCGCCGGGATTGAGAACATCACATCTCGTCAGAAATCTGGCGACATCCCTGGCCGCCCCCCCTCGAGATCTGGCACAGCTCCCTGGGGAAACCAACAAAGTACCGATGCCGCTGCTCCCCAGACTTCTCCCGTGCGTTCTGACAAGATTTCGTGGCGAATCCAGCCTTGGCGACGAGGGCCTCGAAGGAGATATCGGTGAACCCGGGGGTCCCAAAAACGTGTTGTGACAGACCGCGCGGTGACCTCGAAATCCCAAGAGACCTCACCGCGCGGTCCGTCACCGCACGGTTTTGGACCTTGGAGGCCCCAATCGCCCGAGACATCCTCGGAGAACGACCCAACTCCCAAAACCGTGCGGTGACCCCGAGTCCGCGCTGACTCACATTTTTTTGGGTCTGCGGCGAGCTGAGTGCAACAACCGGTCGGGCCAACTGTGGGATGCGTCCGTAGCTAATTGCAACGAGAACAAAGGAGGGGCAAAAGGGGAGGATGAAGCGGCCACGTAACGGCCAGAGAACTCTCAGACCATGCAGATCTTCAAGCGGCGCCAGAGGTCGGGCTCACAATCTCGACGGCGGCACAGCAGAAGCGCGGATGACATGCCGGGAGACAGAGGTCCAGTGACTCACCCCTCGGTGTGGTCATCACTTGGAGGCGGCGGGGTGGTTTGAACTGGATGGGCCCCGAGAAATCGGTCAAGAAGAGGGGAAACGGCAAATCCGCTAAATATCGGTCCCCAGACCCCTCCTGGGTTCCATCTGGTGTAAGCCCCGGATTCGTTTTTGACCGTCCCGTGGCCCGAAAACGGCCCCCAGAGGCCGATTACACTACCGAGGAACCCCCCGTACTTACTTTTACATCCCATGCGTTCACATACCGTTGTCACGTTGTCGTCGTGGTCGTCGTCGTCATCGTCATCGTCGTCGTCGACGGCGTCGTCGTTGTCGTATTCGTCGTCGTCACCGTCGTCTTCGCCCTCGTCGTACTTGTTGTGCTCTTCCTTACCGTCTTACTCGTCATCGTACTCGTATTCGAACTTGTCTTCGAACTCGTACGTGGTGAGAGACCACCCCCTGCGCAACCCCTATGTTGTCGAGCATATACCATGCCTGCTATCCTCAGAGACCACCCCCTGCGCACACCCTATGGTGTCGAGAATCTGCCATGCCTGCTGTGCCCTGGACGACCGTCACGGATAGCGGCCGCGGTGAGAGACCCCCCCCTGCGCACCCCCTATGGTGTCGAGAATCTGCCATGCCTGTTGCGCCCTGGACGACCGTCACGGATAGCGGCCGCGGTGAAGGACCACCCCCTGCGCATCCCCTATGGTGTCGAGAATCTGCCATGCCTGCTGTGCCCAGGACGACCGTCACGGATAGCGGCCGCGGTGAGAGACCACCACCTGCGCACCCCCTATGGTGTCGAGAATCTGCAATGCCTGCAGCGCCCTGGACGACCGTCACGGATAGCGGCCGCGGTGAGAGACCACCCCCTACGCACCCCCTATGGTGTCGAGAATCTGCCATGCCTGCTGTGCCCTGGACGACGGTCACGGATAGCAGCCGCGGTGAGAGACCATCTCTTGCGCACCCCGTATGGTCTCGAGATCTGCCATGCCTGCTGTGCCCTGGACGACCGTCACGGATAGCGGCCGCGGTGAGAGACCACCCCCTGCGCACCCCTATGGTGTCGAGAATATGCCATGCCTGCTGTGCCCTGGACGACCGTCACGGATAGCGGCCGCGGTGAGAGACCACCCCCTGCGCACCCCCTATGGTGTCGAGAATATGCCATGCTGTGCCCTGGACGACCGTCACGGATAGCGGCCGCGGTGAGAGACCACCCCCTGCGCACCCCCTATGGTGTCGAGAATATGCCATGCCTGCTGTGCCCTGGACGACCGTCACGGATAGCGGCCGCGGTGAGAGACCACCCCCTGCGCACCCCCTATGGTGTCGAGAATATGCCATGCCTGCTGTGCCCTGGACGACCGTCACGGATAGCGGCCGCGGTGAGAGACCACCCCCTGCGCACCCCCTATGGTCTCGAGAATCTGCCATGCCTGCTGTGCCCCGGACAACCGTCACGGATAGTGGCCGCGGTGAGAGACCACCCCTGCGCACCCCCTATGGTGTCGAGAATGTGCCACGCCTGCTGTGCCCTGGACGAACGTCACGGATAGCGGCCGCGGTGAGAAACCACTCCATGCGCACTCCCTGTGGTCTCGAGAATCTGCCATGCCTGCTGTGCCCTGGACGACCGTCACGGATAGCGGCCGCGGTGAGAGACCACCACCTACGCACCCCCCTATGGTGTCGAGAATCTGCCATGCTTGCTGTGCCCTGGACGACCGTCACGGATAACGGCCGCGGTGAGAGACCACCCCCTGCGCACCCCCTATGGTGTCGAGAATCTGCCACGCCTGGTGCCCTGGACGACTGTCACGGATAGCGGCCGCAGTGAGAGACCACCCCACTGCGCATACCCTATGGTGTCGAGAATCTGCCACGCCTGCTGTGCCCTGGACGAACGTCACGGATAGCGGCCGCGGTGAGAGACCACCACCTACGCACCCCCCTATGGTGTCGAGAATCTGCCATGCTTGCTGTGCCCTGGACGACAGTCACGGATAGCGGCCGCGGTGAGAGACCACCATCTACGCACCCCCCTATGGTCTCGAGAATCTGCCATGCCTGCTGTGCCCTGGACGACCGTCACGGATAGCGGCCGCGGTGAGAGACCACCCCCTGCGCACCCCCTATGGTGTCGAGAGCCAACTGTATGCCGTGCCTGCTGTGCCCTGGACGACTGTCACGGATAGCGGCCGCGGTGAGAGACCACCCCCTGCGCACCCCCCTATGGTGTCGAGAATCTGCCATGCCTGCTGTGCCCCGGACAACGGTCACGGATGACGGACGCGGTGAGAGACCACCCCCTTTCACCTTATGGTGTCGAGAATATGCCATGTCTGCTGTGCCTTGGACGACTGTCACGGATAGCGGCCGCGGTGAGAGACCACCTCCTGCGCACCCCCTATGGTGTCGAGAATCTGCCATGCCTGCTGTGCCCTGGACGACCGTCACGGATAGCGGCCGCGGTGAGAGACCACCCCCTGCGCACCCCCTATGGTGTCGAGAATCTGCCATGCCTGCTGTGCCCTGGACGACCGTCACGGATAGCGGCCGCGGTGAGAGACCACCCCTGCGCACCCCCTATGGTGTCGAGAATATGCCATGCCTGCTGTGCCTGACGACCGTCACGGATAGCGGCCGCGGTGAGAGACCACCCCATGCGCACCCCCTACGGTGCAGAGACATGCCATGCCTGCTGTGCCCTGTCACGGATAGCGGCCGCGTGAGAGACCACCCCCTGCGCACCCCCTCTCGAGAATATGCCATGCCTGCTGTGCCTTGGAGGACCGGATAGCGGCCGCCGAGACCCCCCTGCGCACCCCCTATGGTGTCGAGAATCTGCCATGCCTGCTGTGCCCTGGACGACCGTCACGGATAGCGGCCGCGGTGAGAGACCACCCCTGCGCACCCCCTATGGTGTCGAGAATCTGCCATGCCTGCTGTGCCCTGGACGACCGTCACGGATAGCGGCCGCGGTGAGAGACCACCCCCTGCGCACCCCCTATGGTGTCGAGAATCTGCCATGCCTGCTGTGCCCTGGACGACCGTCACGGATAGCGGCCGCGGTGAGAGACCACCCCCTGCGCACCCCCTATGGTGTCGAGAATATGCCATGCCTGGTGTTGAACACGCCAAGCGTGCACTAGCGATGTGTGGTGTATGTTGTGTGTGCGAGTCTGTGCATGCGTGCGGCTGCATGTAGACGCTTGTCTGATGCACGTGCCGTGCATGTGTTGCGCGCGGGAAAAGGGAGGAAGGAAATGAAGGAGGGGAGGAAGGAGGAGGGAGGGGAGGTGTGTGTGTGTGTGTGTGTGTGTGCGCGGGAGACGCGGGTGCGACGCGGCAGAGAAGAAAACCAGAACCCCACGAAACATGTGGGGAAAAAATGCGAATGCGAAACACTCTTCCTCGAACCCAGCAGCTCGAACCTGCACTTCATCTCTGCTGGCCCAAGCCAGTGCTGGGCCACCTCAGCCCCCCAGCCGGCTCCGACTTCAGGGCGTCCCGACTCCTCGGAGGCCGAACCTCGACCCTCGGGACACTCACCACACGGTGTGGTCACCACGCCGGCTTGGGCTCCTGGGGCGTCAGCTGGGCCTTCGCCGCGCCCGGCGCGGCGGCGAGGCCGCCCAGCGGCGGCAGCGCCCCGAGCAGCGCGCTGCCGCCGCCGAAGAGCGCCGAGCGCCTGCCGCCTGCGGCGCCCCGCGTCGGCGGGGGCGCGTAGGCTGCCGGGGTGCCGCGGCCGAGCGGTGCGAGCAGCGCGCCCAGCAGGGCCGCGCAGGGCAGGGGCGCACGCTTGGCCGCCCGTCGGGCGGCCTCGCCGCGGGGCCCTCTCCTTGTCACGAGGCGGGAACTTTTGTCCACAGGCTCTCCGCTTCCTTTTGCTGTCCTCCTCGTCCCTCCACCTCCTCCTCCTCTTCATCCTCCTCCGTATCCTCCCTCCTCCTCCGCCTCCTCCTGCCTCCCTCCCTCCCTCCCTTCCTCCCTCCTCCTCCTCCTCCTCCTTCCTTCTCCTCCTCCTGCTACTCCTCCTCCTCCTCCTTCCTTCTCCTCCTCCTGCTGTTCTCCTCCTCCTCCCCCGCTTTCGCCTCCTCCTCCTCCGCCGCTTCCTCCTTTTTCGACGTTGCGCGGTCGAAGGGACTGAACCTGAATCGTTATGTGATGATGCAAAAAGTCGCCGAATCAGGCGAAAAGATAAACAACTTAGGCCGCGGACGGATGCAGAAACGGCTGTGCAAAGAGAAAAGATGAATAATACTGGCCCAGAAAGGCGAGAGTAACCCAGTCCGCGACGACAGGTGAGGGGAGGTAACAAACAACCAATGGAACCTGTGAAATGAACCAGAGGAAGTATGGAATATGCGTGCGCAGTGGGCGGCACCGTAAACGGGCATCGTGGTCGATGCCGCTAGAGTCTTTCCCCCGCCACCCTCACACCAGCCGTCACCAACCCAAGAATGAAACTCCCCTCCCACAAACTGGTCCAGGCAAACCGCGTCCAGGGTGTATTAGCACAACCAAAAACATAGCAAACGACGCTAGTAAGGCACAGTGGGAAATCGAACATAGCGGTAAACAATCAATGTGAATCGTGCAAGGAAGCGGTTTGGCCATACCGTTAAAACATAAACTGGCCAGGTCGGTGCTGGCTGGTCTCGTAAGTGCGGTTTGAACATGTACCTCTGGCCGTGTTAGCTTCTCGTTCGCCAGCAGTAGGCCCGCTCTTCGTTTCCTCGGTGGAGGGACTCACCTTCGCCGTCTCGTAGCCAAGTGGGAGGTCGGAGGTGAGGGGGTGAGATCGAAGTGGAACGGAGAGCCCCCCTACCGGGAAATCGGTTTCGGTTTCGTGTTCGTGCGTGCCGTGCGTCCGAGCGAGGCGAAGCTGCGTGGGCGGGCGAGAAGAAAGCCTCCTCCGGCTGAGGCTCGGGCGGACCAAATGATTCCTTTCCGGGGGCCGGTGGCCCGCGGTGTCCCGCCTCCGGCTGAGGCGCGGCCGGACCAAATGATTCCTTTCCGGGGGCTGGTGGCCCGCGGTGTCCCGCCTGTGTCCCGCAGGTGTCCCGTCGGTGTCCCTGATGATGATGATGATGATGATGATGATGATGATGATGATGATGATGATGATGTCGATGATGTTGAAATGATGATGCTGATGGTGATGATGATGATGATGGTGTCCCGATGATGATGACGATGATGATGATGATGATGATGATGTTGACGATTTTGATGAGGATGATGATGGTGATGATGATGGCCATGGTGGTGGTGATGATGGTGTCCCGATGATGATAATGATGATGATGATGTTGATGATGATGTTGATAATGCTGATGTTGCTGATTATGGTGCCCCGATGATGATGACGTTAATGATCTGGATGATGCTGATGATTATAATATGATATGGTGATGATGCTGCTGACGGTGATTATAAAGATGATGATGTTGTCCGGATGATGGTGGCGATGATGAAGTTGATGATGATGCTGTTGATGATGATGGTGATAATGATGGTGTCCCGATGATAATGACGTTGAACATGATGATGACGATGATGGTGTCCCCATGATGATGCTGTTGAGGATGATCATGAGGTGCTGCTGGTGATTTTGATGATGATGGCCCGATGATGATGATGCCGATGTTGATGATGTTGATGATGATGATGATGGTGTCCCGATGACGATGACGTTGAAAAGGATGATGACGATGATGGTGTCCCGATGATGATGGTGTTGATGATGATGGTGATGATGTGATGATGATGATGGTGTCCCGATGATGACGATGATTATGCTGATGACGTTGATGACGATGATGTTGTTGATGATGACGTTGATTGTGGGATCGATTGTGATATCGATAGTAAGATCGGTAGTGGGACCGAATGTGGGATCGATTGTGAGATCGATCGTGCGATCGATAGTGAGATCGATTGTGCGATCGATAGTCAGATCGATTGTGAGATCGGTCGAATGAAATAGATCGAATGAGATCGATTGTGAGATCGATCGGGTGAGATCGATCGAGCGAGACCGATAGTGAGATCGATAGTGAGACCGATCGAGTGAGACGTTGGTTCCTCCCCCCCCGAACCTCCTTATCACCCGAAGGGTGGTCGTATAGGATAATATACAAACTAGCACTGAATCGTAGTGCGCAGTGCTCTACCCTCTAACTAGAGTAGCACTACTGTCAGCCTCGAAACGCTTGTAGAGTAGCTGCAAACACGGTTCGGGAAAGATGCTCCGAAACTGTCCTCCTCCACTCACATCGTCCAAGCCCGCCACCGCTCCACCATATAGTCAAGGTGTGGCAAATCATACACAAAGAAAGAAGGAGAGCTGGCAACGATGCTGATGGAGTGGCTCAAGCAATGCTGGCAGGCCAGAGCGGTGGGGTCACGACCTGTTGACCCAGGGGGCCTGACATGTAGCTGCGTATGTCATCAACTTCTATGTCATCCCCCACCTGGCCCCCCCACCCCTGAATCCACCCTCAACGTCCGAGAATATGCGTGCGGTAAATCTAAAACTTGAAAGTATGCATGAGCACGGCTGGCGCAATCGCTGCTCTAAGTCTGGAGCACCATTATGCTGGCCAGGTGTGCTGGCTGGCCTTTGAAAAAGAGTGACTAAGTGCATAGGTCCGTTTAATCGTAGGATGAACTCAGCGGGTTGCAAAGGTGGCTTAAAATAAGGCTGAACTATAGCGAGAGTGTAGGCTAAGATGCATAACAAGAGAAAATGGCTGCAGAATTGCAACAACATGTGTGTGTGTGTGTGTGTGCCGATCCGGATAATGCGATCTGCTACTGAGGCTAAGCAAAACCATCTGGGCATAGAAACGGCCGCATTCCCCTCGACAATATCCTTCCCGCCCCAATCGCAATCAACTTAACGTTCGCCGGCGGAAGTGGCGCAGGGCGGGGGTAGAAACAGCAAGTGCGAGCGCGCGTGAAGGGGGGGAACTCAACAGAGAGACACTGGGTGCAAGCAAACAATGAGGAGAGGAGAGGCAAATCAGTAATCCTTGTACTGGGAGTAGCTGGAGTGCTGGAGATAGATGGTGTGGAAATTGTGGGGTCGCAGACAAATCCCAATAGCTTCCTCCATCCTGACACGCGGCAATTGGTGTTCTGAAAACCATGGGGGTGGAAAAATGTGAGGTCGTAGAGCATCCCGTGTATCCACCGTATCTTGCGCCGTGAGCAGTGACCTATCCTCCTGGATGCCGTCGTGTTGGTATAATGGTTTGCGTGGGAGTCTGTGTCCCGCCCCCAATAGTTTCCACCATCTGCCGAGAACCTTGATATAGGTGTTGGTGGGGCTTGTTGGTCTGGCGCAGGGGACTTGGGCGGAGTCGGTGGTGCCATTGCTGCCGTAACTTTCTGTCGCTGCTGTGATTCTGCGTTGCGTATGTTGCGTTGTCGTACTTCTTCCAAATGCAATTGATACTGTTACTGGTGGTTCCAACTAGTGTCCAGGTGCTGCAGGGGTCGTTGGTCGTCGCTGTCCTCTGCATGTCGTGTTTCCACCTGTTCAGCGCGTTGGGGTATCGGCGTTGAGCCCGTCTGTCCGTCTTGCAAATGGGTAGTTGGTACTTTTGGACGAAAATGTACTTGTAGGATTGACGGTCTGTGGTGCTAACTTTGATGTTGGCATGTTGGCGAGCCATAGCTGCGCAGCTGCCGCTTTGGGAGGTGGAAAGATCACTGGGATCTTGAATCTTGGCGGGGGTGGGTGAACTGGGCTTCGTATCGCTCTCGTGGTGTTGGTCTGCTGCGTCATTGGTGCAATTTTGTTTGTTGGTTGTTGGATTGGCGTGTTCGTGGCGTGCTGTTGTGTAGCTCGGTCTTCCTGTGGAGGAGGTTGTGCTGTCGTCTGGTTGGTGGGCGCTGCCTGTGGATATTTATGTGGATGATGGGAGGCTACAATCCTTGTCGTCTCTTGTGCTGAAATTCATACCACTCTGACTGCAAATGTGCTGCTGGAGCCGTGTCGCGTCGTGTATGAGGAGTGCCCGGTCGTATTTCATGTCGTCGTAATCGTGACAGGAATCTAGCCGTCGTGATACTGTGATGATGGCTTGCTTGGTTGTGTTGTTCATTATTGTTGTAGGCGTGCTGAGTAAGGTTGTGAAATGTCTGTTGGCAGGATGGACTGCTAGTCTGAAGCCTTCATTTTGCCTGTAGTGCATTGCAAAATCTTGTAGGCTTCGTCCTAACATTAATCGTCTGGTCGGGGTCGCGGTGGTGGAAGGTGTGCATGTCTGCGGGCTTGGTGTCCGTGGGTATTAGGTACCTGGTCGGTTCCGCGGGTGAAACTGGAAGGCTGATAGTCGCGTGGTGTTTGCGTCTGGTGCAAGCGGTGGATGCGGTAATATATGCGGGTAGGTGTTGCTGATAACGTATTCCCGATTGTATTTGTCAAAATATTTGTGCCGTCAGCCAATAGCAGGTGGTCGTTGAGGAAGCGGTAAATATAAGTGTTGTCAGTGACCCTGTAGTATGCTGCGTAGTGCCAGCTGTCTTCGTCGCTGTAATCGTTCTTGGCACTGTGCGCTTTCCAGCCTGGTGGACAGTGCATGTCATGTCCGTGGCTGGGTGGTAGTGACGTTCGAGTAAAGGGCTTGGGGGCGTACTTGTAGTCGTCGCCGGTGCTTTCTTGGTAGCTGTCCTCATCGTCAGAGTGCTGTCCAGGGGTGGTTGGTAGAGCTGCTGTAATTCCGTCGTCTTCCCAGGGATTGGTCAGCGCAGGCTACAATGGTTTGTCTGATGGAACTTTGGCAGGGTTTGGCATCTCGGGCTTGGGTGGTGGCGTGGGTTCGTGCGCTGGTGGTGCTGGTGGTCGGTCGCGTTTGCTTTCGGGTAGTCTTGGTCTGAAGTTGGGTTGAGGTATGAACTGGCGTGGAGGTGGTGGTAGAGTGTCCTGAACAATACTTGAGTAGCCTGTTTTGGTAATCGCAATATATTTGCTCCGATTGCCGTCGCTGTTCAAGCTGCTGCTGCATCCGTTCTAAATACAAATTACCGTCGTTGATGTAAATCGTTATGCCTCCATTTGTTGGAGGTCTGTAGATGCAAGTCGTGCCCATAGGGTGCGGTATATGCATGGTAAATGTGGACTGTGTCGATTTGCCAGAGGTGGCCATCCGGGCTTGCCTGGCGTTGGTGCTAGAAGCTCGCAATGTGTCGGTGGTAATGTGGGTTGGCGCATCGAGGGCGGCCGTCTCGCCGTGCCAGTCCATTCGTTGAGCATCTCGGTGATGTGGCTTGGTCTCTTTTGGTTCAACGTAGTTTGGTTGGTCGTATTTAGTTGGCGGCGGAATGTGCCAGTGGGGCCTGTCAACGATTGCTGTGGCCCATGGCGGGTGCAGTGCTGCCGCTCCTGACGTGTGGAGAGTGTCCGACACTAGGTTGGTAAGAGGTAATAACTCCGAGCCTGTCGCGATGTTGATTTCGCTGTTGGCGAAGGGGCAGGCGAACGTGGCTGTTCTCGGTGATCCTGTATTTTGTGGGTATGCCGCTATTCTCGTCTACTGCGATTTGGTATCGCTTGGTGCGCTGCTTGTACATGCGGCAACATGTCTCGTTGGGGCCTTTTTTTCTGAGCCATCATTTTTGTAAAATGGGTGCTTGAATCGTATCTTGTCGTTGTCGATGCCGTCGGAGAGTCGTTTCCATGTAAGATCGATGATGCATTGTCGTCGCAGCTCGTGGTCCTCCGTGTCGCCTGGTGCGAATGGCATCCCATCGCGCCTGAATGGTGCAAGCCGGTAGAAAGGTATGTCGTATGGGCGTTGGGGCCATTGGCTGTGTGTGCTGTCGCGAGAGCTCATGCGCTTCCACTTGTCTGTGCTTATGTGAGTCGTGTGCGCAGCAGTTGGGGATAGCTCTGGTTGATGTCTGGCAGGCATGTTATTGTGATGTGGCTCTGACTTACGGTGTAAGCCCACCCCGATTCAGTTGGAACAAGTATGTACTCGTGCCCTAGGTGTAGTGAGATGTAGACGAAGGTTTTGTCACGGTAGGCTTTGGTAACTTCGCATTGTTTGTTTCTTTGAACTTGTGTTCTAGGGTGGAGGCTCTCTCTGGGTCATGGTCGTTTGGTGTCGCTGTGCGTTGTAGTGGCTCCCACGTCGGGGTCTTTTCTGTGAAAAATTGACGGTCGTCGTTGCTGTCGTCTTCGTAGTGGTTGGAGGATGTACGGTAACGTGATTCCACTATGACCAATCATTCTCGTGTAAGTTGGTCGTATCTCTGAGTAAGCTGGTGCTGGCGCAAATCGTCGTGAGACGACAATTCATCTGTATGTACTGCAAAATCGCCGTCTTGTGTAGCAGTAGAAGGAATCGGTATGACACTTTGATTGACCATGAACGCAGTATGTAAGGCACCACGGATTGGTACGAATCACTTGAGCAACGCAGCTGCGGTCGGGCCTGTTACTCATTGCGATGATGCGATATTTCCATGTGGTGCTAAACAGGTTGAGGCGGGATGGCGATGGGTCTTTGCCTGATGACAAGCGTACGCGTCCAAGGATGCTGAGTGTACGGTCGGGGAAACTGCTTTGCTGCCTTTAGGTGCCTAGACTGCGTAGTCATTGGTGCTGTCTGCGTAGGCTATGCATGTGTCGCTGCATGCCTCGAGCTGTCAATGTGCACCATCTGCATCTCACCGTCCATCTTCATGTCGTAGGTGTGATAAGTCAAACTGTTCTTAATGGTCGGGCTGTGTCATTTGGTCATGGAAGTGCTCTTTCATAGCGGTATGTGCCTGGTTCTGAAGGTGTGTGCTGGTGTACGCTAGTGCTGGTGCTGTTGTCGTGTGCTGTGCTGGCGTCGTAGTGATGGTGCTTGTGTCCTGCGGTAGTCGTGTGCTGTGCTCCGTCGAACGTCATGTAGAGGTATGTGCATGCAATGTGAAGTGAGTCCACTTGTTGAAAGGACATCCAAGACAATAGTTGGGTATAACTACAGCGACCACACAATACTACAAGTCGTGGGAGACGTAGGTATAACTATCCTTACGTTTGTGTTCGCGAAAGCAATAAACATAGCCCCGTCCAGTCTGTATTCTGTCATGTTCATTGTATTGGTGAAGTACAAGTATAAGTCATGCATACTCTGTAACCACTGTGCGACTACACATGTCACTGGCTGAGCCCTAAGAGCTTCTCCCTGAGGTATGCACCAAAGGGCTCCCATGCCAGGCCTTGTGAGGTAGGACAAAGGCTTCAGTACATGCTATGTCGTAGAGAGTACAGTTGAGTATGTTGAATATATTTTCGCTGGCTGTGCTCTCCTAGCTTCTCCCTGAGGTATTCCCGATGGGGCTCCCATGCCAGGTATGAAGCGGGCATCAGGCCATTGTGACTTGTCCTTCTTGTATCGCCTTCTTTGTGCTGAGCCTCTCCCCGAGGTCTGCATAAGTATGCCCGTAGGCTCCCATGCCAGGTATGAGGCAGGCGATGTATGACCCTGAATGGTCGTTGTTGTGCTGTTGTGCTGCTGTCGGTGATGTCTCCTCCTCCGCCTCCTCCTCCTCCTCCTCCCTGTTTCTTCCTCTTCCCGCCGCCGGAACGAGCTTTGAGGGCCTGGGCTGAGGGAGGATGCGGATACATTCGGCCCTGGGGGGGCCACACAGATCCACACCCACCGCCCGCCAAAGCCCCGGCGGTGGCTTTGGGCAACCCCCCCCCCCCCCCGCACTCCTGGGCCCACGAGCCGACGGCATGGGGGTCGCGGACATGGCAGGATACGAGACGGTGCCCAGGAAGCTGGAGAGCACGCGCGCGGCCGGGCTCGGGGGCGGAGTGCGCGGCGGCCCGACGCGCTCTGGATGCACGTGCGGAGGGCTGGCGTGCCCGGCCGCGTGAAGGCCGGGCGCTGGAGGCGCCCGGCCACATCGGCCGGCTCCGGAAACCCTCAACCCCAAACTGCTGCCATCCCTCGGGGGCACATTTTTCACTTCTGCTGGCCCTCCGCCGGCGGAGGTGGCCTCGCTTTGCTTCCGCGGGCTTCCGCCGCTTTCCGCCGAGGGCGAGATGACAGCTCCTCCGATCCTCGAAGGCGAGGCCCTCTATGGAACGCCTCACGTGTGTATCCAGCTCTCCTACCGGTACTTCTCCACCGGGTTCCTGTACAAGGCGTCCCTCTGCAAGCACGTCGTTTTCGGCACCGCCTGATCCCGAGGCTTTGCCTCCTCCTGGCCTTGCCGTGAGGCCGCTCTCCTTCTGCCCCCCTCTTTGTTAATTCAAGCTTCGCGCGGCCCGCTTAGCTTCGACCGGAAGAGGTGCGCTCTCGACCCGCGAATCAAAAAAAAGTGTGTATCCAGCTCCCGCCCAAGCCAGCCACAGCACGTTCGTCCAGCTTCCTGGTAGCAGTTCCGCCAGCGAGAGGGCGGGGCGCCGCGTGTGAACCAATACGACTGCGCAGGGAGGGGAGGACGAGGGCGAGAAGTATGAGGCGGCGGAGCAGAACTATGAGCAGGAGGAGGCCAAGGGGAATGTGGAAGAGGACGGGGAAGAGGGGAAGGGGGTGGGGGAGAGGATGGTTAATGGAACGAGGGAGGGGGACGGAGGAAGCGGACACATTGTGTGGAGAAGGGAGATGCGGGAAAGAGGGGGATGGAGAAGGGATGGATAGTCTAAGGGGGAGGATGAACTAGACAGAGTGTCAATGGGTCGCCTGGACTTCAGAAACACAAAAGACGTAGGGTGACGAATGCGAGAAAGAACGTTAGCTGGGCGAAGGACCCAACCATATGCGGTTGTATGTTCTGCAGTTGTAGGTATCGTTGTCGAAGGAGACCCCTATGGGCCACTGGGGGAGACGCATGCGAGCTTTGCCACTCGGGCCTTCGGTGGAGCTCCCTGTGGGCCACGAACCGCTGTACTGGGGGGGGAGACGCATGCGAACTTTGCCACTGGGGCCTTAGGTGGAGCTTCCTGTGGGCCACGAAACGCTGTACTGGGTGGAGGAGACGCATGTGAGCTTTGCAAACTGGGGCCTTAGGTGGAGCTCCCTGCGGGCCATGAAATGCTGTACTGGATGGGTAGACGCATGCGAACTTTGCCACAGAGGCCTTCGGTGGTGGACCCTGCCACCAGGGCCGTCGGTGGAGCTCCCCATGGGCCACGAAACGCTGTACTGGATGGGGGAGACGCATGTGGACTTTGCCACTGGGGCCTTCGGCGCAGCTCCCCATGGGGCACGAAACGATGTGCTGGGCTGGGGAGACGCATGTGGACTTTGCCTCTGGGGCCTTCGCTGGAGCCTCCTATGGGCCACGAAGCGCTGTACTGTGTGGGAGAGACGCATGCGAACTTTGCCACTGGGGCCTTCGGTGGCGCTCCCTGTGGGCCACGAAACGATGTCCTGAGTGGGGGAAACGCATATGGACCCTGCCACTGGTTCCTTCTGTGGAGCTCCCTATGGGCCACGGCTGTACTGGGTGGGGTAGACGCATGCGAACTTTGCCACTGACTGAGGCCTTCGGCGCAACTCCCTATGGCCTACGGAGCGCTGTGCTGGGTGGGGGAGACGCATGTGGATTTTGCCACTGGGGTCTTCGGAGGCGTAGCCTCATGCTGGAGCGGAGTCGCACGGGCGACTCCAGCATGAGGCTGCACCTCCGTGGCCTGCGCTGCTTTCTGTTCTCTACGTACGACCACCGCCGATCGATCGGCTCGAGGCGCGCCCAGGGCCCCAGAGCGCAGCCTCGGCCCCCGCCGCGCGCGCGGCGCCTCCGAGCTGCTGGGGCAGCCGGGGTGCCGCCCCGGCCGCGAGCGGCCCGGCGCCGACGGCTCGGGCTGCCGCTCGCCGCGGCGCGGCGCCCATGGTGCCGCTGGCGCCGCGCGCGCGCGCGCCAGCGCGTCAGCCGCTCCGCTGCCGCCAAGGGGCGCGGAGCCGAATGCGAAGGAGAAGGGAAGCTGTTGGCCGTCGGGCGGCGAGGTCCAACGCATACGTGTTCCTCTTTGGTCGGAAGACCACCTTTGGATCCCCCTCCCTACATGATTGCCCCCTGGGCGCTTCCATCGCCAGATATTCGAATTTTGGTCTCTGGGTGCCACTCCAGGCCTTCTTTGACCGACTGGGTGGGCCCCTAAGAAGCCGCCAAAACGGCCCAGGAGGGCCCAGCATCGCCGGACGATCGGTCCAAACCGCCAATATGGCCCCAAGGCGGTCCAAGACGCCTGCAAGAAGCCCCAAGAACCTTCCCGCGAGGGACCCGAGAGGCAAAGATCATGGAACTTCCATAGGCTTTGAACGATCCTGGCTGTTCTCACCTTCTTCGACTTCCAGACGCTCCAAGACTGCCCAAGAGACTTCCAATACCGCCCCCAGACGGCCCAATAAGCCCGAGCCCGCAAGACCGCTCCAATACGACCCAAGAAGCGCCCAAAACGGCCCCAAGAGGGAGAACACGAACCAAAAATCGGAGTCTTCCGCCCCAAGGAGAAACCATGAGCCCTACGAGGAAGAGGCCCCACGAGGCAACCAAGAGATCCCCAAGAGGCCCCAAGATGCCCCCAAGAGGCATCCAGCAGGCCCCGATACGCTCCAAACGGCCCTCCCACACGAGGGTGGGGCGGCGGGCGGATGGGCGGCGGCGGCTTCGGGTGGAGGCGTCGCAGACTGGACGCAAGATTCGTTGACTTATGAAGGGTCGGTTTAAAAGCCCTACGGGCTCTACGGGCGCTATGACCCCTATGGGCCCCTCACCACGTGCCCATGAACACCATGAACTTTACAAGCCCTATGAGCCCTGCGAACCCTATGATGCCCTACAATCCCCCCGGGCGCGGCGAGGCCACTTAGCCCTACGTGTCCTCTGACCTCTGCGAGCCCTATGAGCCCCATGAGCCCTGCGAGCCCTTTGAGCCCTACACGAGCTATGGCTCCCATGAGCCCAACGAACCCTTTGAGCCGCATGAGCCCCGCAAGCCCTGTGAGCCCTGCGAGCCTTATGAGCCCCGCGAGCCCCCTGAGCCCTGCGAGGCCTCTTAGCCCTACGAGCCCTATGACCCCGGCGAGCCCTGTGGGCCCTATGAATCCTACAAGCCCTACAAGAACTATGGCCCCCATGAGCTCTACAATCCCTGTGAGCCCCATGAGCCCCACAAGCCCTGTGAGCCTCGTGAGCCCTGCGAGCCCTGTGACCCTATGGGCCATATGCGCCAGACGCCCCATGAGCCCTGCGAGATTTTGAGCCCCATGCGCACCGCGGGCTCCCATGGGCCACTTGACACCTGCGAGCCGTATAAGCACTATAATCCACATGAGTCCAATGAGCCGTACGAACCATAAACGCCCATGGCCCTATGAGCCCTATGAGCCATATGGGCCCTATGGGCCAGATACGCCCAAGACCCCATGAGCCCTACGCATTACACACCCTTCAGCCACACAAGCCTTCTGACAGCCCTGCGAGCCCTACGGGCGCTCTGAACCTCATAAGCCCTGCGTGCCCATGAGTCCGATGAGCTTGCGAGCACTATGATGCACTGCGAGCCCCCTGAGCCCTGCGAGGTCTCTTAGCCCTACGAGCCCTATGACCCCCGCGAGCCCTAGAAGCCCCATGAGCCAGCCATACGAGCCCTACAAGCAATGAGCCAGCCATATGCACCCGTAGCCTCATGATGCCCATGAATCCTCTGATCCATATGCGCCCACAGCCCCGTGAGCCCCATGAACCACGCGAGCCCCCACGATGAGCCCTATGAACCCTGTGAACTATGAGGGGCTACAGGCCCGTGAGCCTAATGAGCTTTATGCGCCCAAAGCCCCATGAACACCGTGCGCCACACGACACCTCGCGATGTGCCCCATGAACTCCACGAGCCCTATGAGCCGCGTGCGCCCGAAGCCTCGTGATCCCTATGAGCCACAAGACCCCCCGTGGTGAGCCCCTGAACCTGACGACCCACGTGAGAAGTCTCTCGCAAATTGAAAGCCTCGTGAGCGCTACGAGCCCCAACCAGAGAACCTGCACACAGGAGCAGCCAATCCCATCGCAACTATGGGTCTCTTACGCCTAGCGAGGTCCATGTGACTGTCCATGTGCCAAGGGGCCGCAGCGCAGTGGGTACCAATGGTCGCGGCGCGCTTCTCTGGCGCCATGCGACCAACATATTAAAGGCGGAGCGAAAAGTCGGTACAATCCTGTATATGTGTACAAATCCGCCGATCCGGCGTGCGAGCGTAAGAAGTCTATTCTGCATGAGCTTTAGTTCTGCTTGGGAGGGAGGGAGGGGGGGGGACGTAATTAAATGACCGGTAAAAGTGCTCGGCACCTCCCCCCCCCTGCCAGCCCCCGAGAGAGAGGGATGGGACAGGAGAGAGGGGGGGGGCAAGCTAGGTGCACTCGCGTCATATCTGACATCCTACCCCTCCCTCCCATCCCTTACCATGGCGCAGATCCCTTCTCCACTCGCACAGTCGGATGTCGAGCAGGGCAATGATCCCGAAAGGGTACGCGATGCATTGTAGAGCACGGCGTGGCATGGCGTAGAAGAGCACCGCAAAGCGTAGTATCAACCGAGCATTGCATTGCATGCCGTGGCATGGCACGGGAAATGACGCCAGCGCTGCAGCGGGAGCACGAGTCGAAACGAGCGGAAGCGCGGAAATGAGGCCAGCGCTGCAGCGGGAGCACGATTCGGAACGAGCGGAAGCACGGAAATGAGGCCAGCGCTGCAGCGGGAGCACGATTCGGAACGAGCGGGGCCCGAAAATGAGGCCGGCGCCTCAGCGAGACCAGCATTTTGAAAAACAATGCAGGCGAAAACCCAACTCCGGGGAAACCTGTGTAAAAAAATAGTGCGCGGGGGGGGGTCGGACACTCCCAGGCCGTCATCAGGGGAAGAGGGAGAATAGTATTCATATTGAGTAATTGTAAAGGAGGGGGGTGGACAGGAGAGAGGGGGGGGGACAGGAGAGAGGTCCCAATGGCACAATTCGCATGCGTCCCCGCCACTCATTCCGGCACACCCCTCACACGTTTCGTGGCCCCATAGGAACTCCGCCGAAGGTCCCAATGGCACAGTTCGCATGCGTCCCCGCCACTAATTTCGGCACACCCCTCACACGCTTCGTGGCCCCATAGGAGCTCCGCCGAAAGTACCAGTGGCACAGTTCGCATGCGTCCCCGCCACTCATTTCGGAACACCCCTCACACGTTTCGTGGCCCCGCCAGTGGCACAGTTCGCATGCGTCCCCGCCGCTGATTTCGGCACGCCCCTCACACGTTTCGTGGCCCCATAGGAGCTCCGCCGAAGGTCCCAATGGCACAGTTGGCATGCGCCCCCGCCACGCATTTCGGCACACCCCTCACACGTTTCGTGGCCCCATAGTAGCTCCGCCGAATTTCCTAGTGGCACAATTCGCATGCGTCCCCGCCACTCATGTCGGCACACCCCTCACACGTT